TTAACATACAAAGATCAAATACCAAGTAACATCAAGAAGCAAAACAATGTAGAAGTGTAAGACTATAGGGAAGGCAGCTAGTCATCACCACCCACCGCCAACTCTTGGGCTACTCTTTTAACAACGAATAGTGGGATTGACGTCACATTATAACACCCCACGGCTGAAAGGGCGAGCATGTTTGATTGATTCGAACCCGCAACCCTCAGATTGCGAGTTCCTTTGCCGGACCCCTTTGCACGAACTTTAAAAACAAACAAACCAACAATTCTATTTCGTTCTATGTAATAAATTTTTTGAAATTTTTGTTGGACTGATTAGAAAATTTATATTCCTTTGTAGTAATTGTTTGTCTTATAAGAACTAAGTAAATTATTAATCATTATTCAATAAGAGTGAAATCGCCCAGTTACATAAACACAATTTAATATTATGACATTTTTTATTCTTTTTAAAAATTATAAGATGTTATAAACATATACTTTGGCATTTGTCTTGAAAATCGGAAAAGAACAGTGTCCTCTAAAAAATTAAATATTAACACGTTCTGTAATAAGATCTCAGATCGGTCAACTATGAGCTATAAGTTTGTACTCGAAAAACACGAAAGAAACAACAATTCAGCTATTAAAAGAGATAGAGCACTATATCAATAATTTATTTTAAGATGTACTTAGATTATTATACTTGTTATCAATGTGATCTTAGAAGATAATACACATAAAACACAGAAAAAGGACTCACATTTTTAATGCTAATTTCTTATGCTGTAAAGTAGGATATGTTCCTCATTATTTATTATTCAATCCTTTTTAAAAATATTAAAAAAATATACTCTTTTTGAAAAAGTATTGAGCAACAAGTAACGAGGATTTTGTTTCTTATTAAACACAAAACTACACAATGGGCTATCTGTTCCCTGCCCACTGCGAGTAGCGAAACCATTTTTTTTAGCATTATAAGCCCTCAGACTTACCTCTGAGCCACCGGGACGGCAGTAGTTAGGAATGCATACTGTTTTCCAATGTAAGACAATTATCTTTGGAAAATACGAGTTCACTCAGCTTGTATATACATTATCTTTTTTTTTTTTTACATTATATCATTAAATCAAACATAGTTGGTAAACGTGTGTTTAACCGTATTTCAGAATGTTTGTTTGTAGTTAAGCACAAAGCTACACAAAGGGCTATCTGTGCTCTGCCCACCACGGGTATCGAAATCCGGTTTCTAGTGTTGTAAGTCTGCAGACGTAACGCATTTCAGAATGAACTTGGAAGTTGAGAAATTACTGTATACATACTGTATATAGTTTCAGATATATGAGTGAAAGTCAGAATTCTTGTATCTACTTGGGCTTTTACTCACCACGTGTGAGAGTTGTCAGCAAATTAGGCTAAACTAAGGATAGCTTTATGTATGATAAACCAGATTACAGCAATATCTAGTGTATATTATTCTGGTTAAAATACAATATGATGACAGATATAGGTATTTCCATCTTACTACAGCATTATATTCAAACCACTTCTAAATTATACTGGCCTGGATTTCTGACAAAAAAAGAAAACTGAAATGTCTAATGATTAATGCAGTTATGCCTGTAATTTGCTTAGGAAATTTCAAAACTTACGAGTGAAATTAAAGAAGAATGAATAATAATATGAAAGCTATACCCATCTCTTTAATATCTTGAGGATGCTAGAAAACATTTTATTCGAATTTACCACCTGGTGTGATGTAAAATGTTGAAAATTCCGTGTTTGAAATAATTCATGAAAGATTTTTAAATATAAAATAATTACATTTATTTATTCAAAAATAGAGCATTTTTATTAAGTTCAAAAACTCCCAGGAGAATTATTTATTTGTAATTAAGCCCAAAGCTATACAAAGCAAAGAAGAGATAACTCACCGAGGATATCGAAACCAGATTTTTAGAGTTATAAGTCCTCAGACTTACTAGTCCCCCGGTGGGACAGAAGTAAGTCTACACACTTACAATGCTAAAATCTGGGGTTCGACTCGCCGCGGTGGACACAGCTTTACTCTAAACAAACAGAGTTACTGCTGAGTCTCCAGGGGGTCCAAGGAAAGGGAACGTAAATTGTTGTGCTTAACGCTACTGGCTATTCTATGTATCGTTATGTTTTGGTAAATTTCGCACTACCATATTAAATGAAAATGTCATTTTCAATTTCATCGGCTCTTCACAATTAGCCTAGAGTATATTGAAATAAGATTTGTTTTAGAAAAATAGTTATTTAGGAATACAGAGCCTCGGATAAGTAAGAATTGTTCAATATTAGTATGAATATTTAAAGTCTGTTTGAAAAATGTGAAAAAATTATCGAAGTAATTTATGAAGCAATCAACAGTATATGTTTGTTAACTGTTTCTATTTCTGTTAACGGCTGATTTGTATACCTCAATACTTTGGAAATGGGTTAAAATAAAACATAAAAGTATCCTATATATTTTTTAAATGTATAATTGGAAGGTAACACAATTTTTCTCTGTCGAATGTTACGTTTAACGACCAAAGAAGTCATGTTATGCTCATTAACCCGAATTTTTGTCAAACGTCTGAACTAAAAGCTGGCATTTTATTTCAATTTTCCTAGTTTCAATACTTTAAACTATAGTTTTTTCACTTGCCCTAAAGAAGAAAAGAAAAATTACGATAATTGTCTTTTTTTTTTTAACTAGTTCATTCTGAAATGGACGTTTGAAAGAAGTTTCTATTATTTAAAATCTCATAAATCTTCAGTAACAATACTCCTACTACCCGAAATCCAACCGTACATGAGCAAGTGCACAAGTGGGAGCGTTAATAATCTTCCTTCTCAGTGATCCATTTCTTTGTTATGTTAATAGTGAAATCAGCATTTCACTTTGAGGTTCGTTTCGTTTACCTTGGTGTTGCCTTGAGGATTAATTCTTCAGTGAAATAAAAAGTCTCATCCATATGTATAGAGTTTATAACACTACGAAGGTAGGGACTGTCCAAGCCGATAATGTACCCTAACTTGATGACGATACAGCTTCCCCGTGATATCAGAAAAGTTGTCGTTGCCCGTTTTTACACCAGCGCTGATATTATTAATCTTTTTTACGATTTAATAAACACCGAGAACTTGACACCTGACGAGAGCAGCTTAGTACAGATATTGTCTAATAAGGTTAAAAGAAATAAGTCCTCTATTTTCACTGCTACTACTTTCGTATTCTTCTTTTGTTCTTGTCGCATAAGTCTAATAATCTACTATGTATTTAATTCTTTTATCAAACTATAAAGATGTTTATATCTTGAAAATGTGGATTTTCCTTCATGTTTTAGTAGGATTTGTTCTTGTCGCATAAGTCTAATAATCTACAATGTATTTAATTCTTTTATCAAACTATGAAAATGTTTATATCTTGAAGCTGTGGATTTTCTTCATGTTTTAGTAGGATTTGTTCTTGTCGCATAAGTCTAATAATCTATTTGTGTTTAATTCTTTTATCAAACTATGAAAATGTTTATATCTTGAAAATGTGGATTTTCCTCATGTTTTAGTAGGATTTGTTCTTGTCGCATAAGTTTAATAATCTACTATGTATTTAATTCTTTTATCAAACTATAAAGATGTTTAAATCTTGAAGCTGTGGATTTTCTTCATGTTTTAGTAGGATTTGTTCTTGTCGCATAAGTCTAATAAGCTACTATGTATTTAATTCTTTTATCAAACACTAAAAATGTTTATATCTTGAAGATATGGATTTTTCTTCATGTTTTAGTAAAGTTATTATTACTTGCTTATCAGTCAGAAAATCTTTTGTAAAAACTTCATTCATACGAAAAACATAAATCTCCAAATAACTTTGATATCATCTATAGCAATCAGTTACAGTACTGGAAATATTTTTATACTAAGTTATACAAAAGGATATCTACACAAAATTATCCCTAACTTTGAACTGACAGACTAGAGCTAAAATGGCTACTCAACAAACATCCATTGCCAGCTTTTGCTCTTATTTGAATGAATAATGTGATTCGAGAGTCACTACCTTACTTACAGCTCCAAAGTCGGGAACGCGTTTTTGCGGTAACGAGTCACAACCCGTGAACCCTCGCATTCACATTATGAACACGCCAAGAACTATCGGTCCAAACCAGGTCCAGGTTTCATCTCTGAACGTGCGATTATATAATATTACTCTTGATCTTGGTATTGGTTACAGAATGTTATTGGACAAATGCTCCTTCAACTTGTAACTGTAGCTTTGAGCGATTTGTGTTGGCTTAATTACTTGTATGTTTGATATTTTGAGTCATTATGAATCAATTCTACCTGCTTATTTGAGAAAATATCAATTTCAAAACTGATTTCTTAAAGTTTATATCTCTGTTTAAAGCCTTCAGTAGTTTTCGTTATGCCCTACCTGGAATATAGAAATCGACTCATCCAAGCTGCTGAGAAATATTGGCCTTAGCGGCCGCTAGGCTTCTACTTCAGTGAGCGGTGTAACCCGCTACATGGGCGGTGTGTGATGTGTTATGGTAAGTCGCGCAGTTTTATCTTATGTCTCAAAATTTTGTACGGTTTTTATGAAAGCGTAGAATATTTATGTTAAATAAACAAAGAGATATTAATTGAGCTGTAGATCTTAACTAGTGTGTTTGTTGCACGTTCGAAGTATGGGACGGTTTCTTTCCCAACGGCTGCCGTAGGCTAGCGTCCGACTGTGAAAAATGAAAAGAGACCCGGCACATACCTGCGGTGGTGTTTCACTGAGAACCCTGCCGCGGCTGTTTCTCAGTTTGCCGGGAGGTGGCTACTAATTCACGTAAACTAACTCATCGGTCACACGGTACGAAGCTGTTCGTCGTGGTTTCCACTAGGAAATGACAAGTGTAACAAATAAGGAAAGTCACCAAAAAGGTAACATTGCATTTTGTAAATACATTTAGTTATGCCATTATTCTCTAGTGAGTATATATGATCAGGTTTCTCTGTGGTTGGTCTTTGAAAGTACAATAAGTTTTAAATATTTTGTGTTATAAACAACAAACTCAATAACTTTGGTAGACTTTATTACCGTATTATTATTATTTTAAGTAAATATCTGAGCTTCGTTTAATTTATAGATTATATATTACTGATATTATGATAATCCGTTGGACGAGTGTGAGGTAACGAAATATTTGTGGGTTCTTTTTGTTAGGAGCGTTTTGAAAGAGTTTGTTCGAAGACGTTTAGAGAACGGTTTTCATCGTGTTTGTAAGAAAAATGTAAACGACTTGAAAATTGTGTCGTTATCAAGCTGTTTTAATAATGAATAGTACAGAGTAACAGTTTAAAATAGTGTAGATGATTTAAATTGTAATCAATAGGCTTTACTTTTATAACGAGTTGCCCCAGATACCCAAATTTCTGATAATGATATTACCTAGAGAGTGTTAACTGTTAGTGTTACACAGATACCCAAATTTCTGATAATGATATTACCTAGAGAGTGTTAACTGTTAGTGTTACATATGCAAAGAAAACCCATTTCTATTTCAACATAAAAATAACCATCTCGTACGTTGGTAAAAAAAGACCGACAAGAATATGAAATCAAATAATTGGTTGCTGTCTCTCATAAATTCAGGTAAAATTTTACTAAAATATAATTTTGAAATCCAACCATAAAAGTAAAAAAATATATAAATATTAAACCACTTGAACGAAAAAGCTTAACTACTGTGATCAGCCGAACGCTGGCGCTAAGACTCGGAGAAAATTGGCCAATAAACACTATCGTCTATCATCACTTATAAACTTGCTTGTTAATATTTTTACATAAATATTAATGGCTTCAAACATAAACGAAGATAATACGAATAAAATGATCAATGTTATTCATATTATCAGGAATATATTATACATCTTCCAATGACAAAAGTTGTTATTGTGATGGCTTAATTTGTTTGTTTTTTTATATTTATTCTAAGTAAATTTGGAATTTAACTTTTTTTTGTTCTTCATTTTATTGCTACTCTACAGAAGTTACTTTGTAATTGAAAAGAAAGTTTCAACTTAACGTATTAGGGTGCACGGTTTGTGAGTAAAATAAAGTTAAGACAAAATCAATTGAATTATTTCTTGTCGTTGATGTCGCTTTCTTCTTCCACTAAAGAGAGACTGTTCTTTTGAAGTTAATGAACTTGGGAGCGCAGTGTTCATCGTAATTTACTTACAAGGACAGTAATTTCAAAGCTTACGGGGGAAAACTTCAAGCGGATCGTAATTAATTCTGCTACTGAAGACTGTGCTTTCACAGATGTAAAGTTTAAACTTTAAAGCAGTTCATGCAAACTGAATAAATCGATCAATACTACATGTATAAGTAAAAGAAATTCAAGGCATTGTAAGAGTACTAAACACAAGTATAACTATGTTTACTTTCATAACGTAAATAGTCTTGGTAAACTTTTATTTATGCAGTGTTTTGAGTTTTATTTAAACAAGAGGGAATCCTCTATAGCCGCGGCACTTGAAATTCTTTTAGGCAGGATTAGATAAATTAATGTACGAGGCCTTTTTTTCTCCTTGTTATTAGTCTTTTTTTTTTTTTTTTTGCACTAGCAATACTAAGCGTGTGGCGCGCGTATACTTGATTCGATTTTATTACTCATCAGAATCTCTATCAGCTTATCCTCAAATTGAAATTCTTTTGGGCAGAATTAGAGTAAATTAATCTACGAGATCTTGGGCGTGGTCAAATACATTAAATACAAATGTAATTAGATCTCATATCGGTCAAGATATGACGGAGCTATGAGCTAAAAGTTTGTACTTTAAAAAACAGCAACAATAACAACAAAACAACTCGGAGCCATTCTATGAGCCGATATGCTGCGGCTAATAACGATGCAATTTTGAGCTACATGCTACACTCGACAAGAAGCGGAGTAGGTTTAAGGTGTGTTACACTCGACAAGTAATGGAGCAGGTTTAAGTTGTGTTACACTTTACTAGCAGAGAGTAGAAAGTTTTAAGTTTGGTTGTCGTCGACAAGAAGAGGAGAAGGTTTTGTGTTGCACCCGCCAAGAAGAGAGAAGTTTGTGGCGTGAAAGCAAGAGCAAGTTATACAGCCTTGTTTTACAAGTTCCGTGCTGGTTTAATTTGTACAGATTAAATGTCTAACTTTAGCAGTGAACGACACTTTTCTCATATAGCAGTCACACAGACTATGGATGGTTGAAACGTTTGTAAGAGAGGGAGGACTTTAAAGCTACACAGTACGTAACTAAAACACTACGTCAATGTATGAGGGTGTGTATTCAAAACGCTTGAGTTATACAGCAGATACACTTTAAAATATCGTCGTGAGTATGAAAATGAAAAACATTCTTAAGGTGTACCAAAAACACTGCCGAGGAATTGTTAATTATACAACATGTAAGTGGCACATAACATTCGAACAGTTAACGAAACGAGAAAATACGCTGCCAACATTCTGTCTTTACATATATCCAATCATAACTTAATGAAAAGCACAATCCTTTTATTGCATCGTTCATAGAGAATGGCACACCCGAGCAATTCTACCTTGTTTTGACAGTATTATCTAGGGAAAGTTAGTTTCAGTTTCTCAATTAAATTGTACATCAATAGTGAGCTGCCCAATGAAGGAAAACGAAACAAGTAACACAACACGTCTTTCTTCTTGATCAAACTATGTTTGTATTAACTGGCTTCAAGTAAAACACTTGATCACGTTAGCATCAATGTTTTATTGAAGTAAGATTGGTGCGCCTTTGTATGTATGAGATACTGTGGTATAGCAAAAAACAAGACTTTCGCTAAGTAAGTCAGTGACTTATTTTCTATTAACTCTTCTGATTTGTCTGCTGATGTAAATTATGTCTGCCTAATTAAAAAAACAAAAAACATTAATTTTGAAATGAATATGTAAAAATAATTGTTATATTTTGTTAAATAAAATCCTCAATAAATTGTTAGTCCCAAAGAACAAGAGCGACATTTTGAATATTAAATTGGTTCTCAGAGAGAAAGTTAAAATTTATGTAACAGTACTAATATACATAAAATACCGTACACATAATAAAGCAAAGGTTTTTATATATTGCTAAATTTTATATAAATTCAATATTTTTTTTTATTTTTTAGAAAATGTTGTCCTGAGGTTACAAAATGTTGTTATGAGGCTACAAAATGGGATGGAACCGTGAACAAAACTGTAATGATGTATAATCATTTTTCTTCTTGGTTTCCTACTATGATCAAACGATGGTAGAAAAGCATTATTTATTGTATGTATCTCTGGCCTTCAGTCGATAGATAGTTTCTACTATTCTATGGTATTTAATTTGCATAAAATTATATTTGAAATCGAATCGAAGAATTCCATTAGATTAGTGACGAAAACTTCAAGATTCTCAAAAAATTGCTTTTCGACGATTAACATTTCGATCATTATTCGAAAATCGATTTTTTGCAATTCTTAAACTTTTAAAGTACTGTATCACCAATTATCTTATCGTTGATCAGTCATAATTTGTTTTTCTAATAACCAGTAAGTATTCTCTGCCTACCATTCGGCTACTGTACGTAGATAAAACAAACGAAAGAACTCCACTTCGTTCCATTTGTTTTTGGCGTAAAAACTGTAAAAGAAGATTACCAACCAAACATTGTGCAAGAGACGCGTTTGAATAGCTGTCACTCGAATGGGAACTCGACTTGTACAAAAACTGTGTCGGCCATTATTATACCGAAAAATATATGAAGTCATCGTGTACGTTCATCATAGGAACGTAGTTAAAATTGTAGAAAAATGAAAACAACATGAAAAAAACAAAATAAAGTAGCAATGAAATAATTAAAAACTAAACTTGTTAAACATCTCATTTCATCTTGCCAGTTTTATTTCACACACAGTTTTCATCAATTAGTACGATCCCTTGGTTTTGTACATAGATCGTCAGGGAAGTGATTTTCTAAAAGCATCGCTTCACGTAATATTGAATTACACTCATGTGTATAGTAATTATATGTACACAAGGACAGATTATGTGGGTGATCCACGTGGTGTAGCTATATGGTATCATAACATCAGAAAAGTTTTAAGGATGTGATTCTTTTACAAAAATTGATTATAAATTCAATCCTGAAAAAAAAAATGACGGCTACTTTTTCATAAAGAAATGAAAAACTTATCAAAATAATGTCAGCTTTGTAAATTATAGGTTATAATAATGTCATTTAACTATAACGACTTGGGAGCTAGATTATTACAGAAAAAACAGTTTAAACCAACATAAGCAGCGTTTACACATTTTAAATTTAATTATGCTGCTTCATCAGCTCGTTCTTGATATTAACAACTAAGCCCCTTAAATAACTGACTTGATTCTATACCGTTCACTACCAGTAGGGTCTATGTATTAGTGAACAACTAACTTGTTCACATATCGTTCACTACCAGTAGGGTCTACGTATTCCTGAATAATTGATTTGTTTACATACCTTTCACTACCAGTAGGGTCTATGTATTAGTGAACAACTAACTTGTTCACATATCGTTCACTAACAGTAGGGTCTACGTATTAGTGAACAACTAACTTGTTCACATATCGTTCACTAACAGTAGGGTCTACGTATTAGTGAAACAACTAACTTGTTTACATATCGTTCACTAAAAGTAGGATCTACGTAGTAGTGAACAACTAACTTGTTCACATATCGTTCACTAACAGTAGGGTCTACGTATTAGTGAACAACTAACTTGTTCACATATCGTTCACTAACAGTAGGGTCTACGTATTAGTGAACAACTAACTTGTTTACATATCGTTCACTAACAGTAGGATCTACGTATTAGTGAACAACTAACTTGTTCACATATCGTTCACTAACAGTAGGGTCTACGT